GTAGTCATTTTTACATCCCTAGCAGTTTCTTTACAGCATACAATAAATTCTTCCATACTAGTCACATACTAGTCAACATAAATATGAATATAGCTAATGGAAACAACATCTTCTGTTTGCTGCTCCTAAAGAATCATTTGCACTAAGGACGATGCCTAACTACAATATGTGTTGTTATAAAAATGCCAAAACAAATGACAAGAAACTCATGCAGAAGACTTTCATCTTTAGGTAATACAGCTTCTTAATCTCCTCTTTTTTTCCTCATTTTTTTCCTTCTAACGATTAATAACATTTGCATGGATATAACCTCCTTAGAACAAAAGTATTCTGCACTCCACGGTATTTAAGCTGTATATTAATAATAGGCATGATAAGGAATCACAAAAGTATCTTTTCTGTCAGCTTGTGCCATTAAGAATCTCTAACCACAGATCATTGTTGTAACAGGTCATTACGGCCCATTGTGTCAGTTCATCTATTGGGATCTGTGCACTATAAGCATGACAGATTTCCTCTGCAGCAATTACAGTCTATTGTGACAATAGGATTTAATGAATATAAACAACAAACCACATAATCTGTTATTACAGAACACAGCCATGCACCCAGATGGGAATTACATTCCTAGACATTACCAGTTGCAGTTTTTATAATTGTGACTATTTCAGTCATTGTGTTTTTAGATGCAATGCTTTAATTTACCACATATATTTATATCAGCCCTGGCTGGTGAGAGGTCTTCAGAATTTAAAGCCTAATCTTGCAAATGATTCTTTTTTTTTTTTTAGACACTTACTGTTGATTTTTGCTGTGATACTACTGGCTAGCACTGCAGATGAAACAAGCAAATACAATAAAATTAGTCATGGAAATTAATGAAGCATAGCAGAACATTTCTGCATTGTTTTCAAAGAATAGACACTTCTGCTCTGTTCAATACTTTTTTTTTTTTTTTTTTCCCCAAATGATGGGCTAAGTGCTACACCAGTGCAAATCTGTAGAATCACAATGGTGAGAATTTTGCTGATTGATGCAGCTTAAAGCCTGTCCTCTGTCCTAGGGGCTTTGGATAAATATTTGTGAAATTAATACTCTTTTTCAAAGCACATAACCTGTCCTTCATATTAAAGATATGCAGTCTACAAAAGTTCACATTTTCCCCAGGGTGATTTCAAAAATCTGGCTCAATTACAGAGATTTTTAGCTTTTTAATTATGAGTTCTGGAATTGAGTACATCAAAGGTTACAATTACAGTGTTGGTACAGCTGTATTTTAATCTCCATAGTTGGGCACTACTGGAATATATGTACTTTAAGTAATGGAAAATTTGCTGTAAAGAATAAATTAATGAGGACCACATATGGATGAGCTGTATAAACGCCAGTGTGAATCACCACAGTCCTTATCACATACCTTTGAGAAGAAATCTCCAATTAAACTTACTTCCACAGAATTCTTATTACCAAAATGGGAAAAGACTCTTACCTAGCATGCGAACACATTTGGCATTCTGGTCAGGACTATCAAATGAGATTTCTCCGCACCTCTGGAAAAAAAATTCAATCAAAAATTAGTTAATATGCATTTACATTTAATTAAATCCTCTCTGATAGCATCCCTGTCTTCATCCTCTTACAGGGGGGCTCTGATTCCCTCATTCTATGTTTATGTTTGGCACTAGAAATCCTTAGATGTGTGTTGATAAAATGTCAAAATCAGAAGAATTTCAAGTAGCCAAAGTTCAAGGAAAAATAGATGTTACAAGGATAGGTCAACAATGTATTACAGGGCATTCACCATGCCCTATTTATTGCCATACCTATGGCTTAAACAACTACCTCATCCATGTTGCTATTTGTCAGTACTGGACCCAAGTATACAGGAGGCCTCATTTACTGCCTCATTTATAATGGCTGATGTTCGGTCACTATACTAAACCAATGAAAGAACATCATTAGACTTAAGATTCAGATATGTAGTGTTTGGTTATTTTCAAGGATGAGGCATCATCTGAGTCGTTTATGGAGACAGACATGTCAGTTTAGCTGCCAGTAGGAACATAATTGGTGTGGCTCATGGGTCTGATCCAGCTCTGATTAAAGTCAGTGTAGAGATCCCACTCACTACAGGAGTGGTTGCTTCAGGCACTACAAAAAAGATTCATTTTTTAATTAGTACACTCAAAGCCTCAGTAAGGAGGCCCTCCTTAAGGACGGACTCATATTTAATAGGTAAAAATGGTCCATGCTTCATAGTCTACATTTTGTTGTTGTTTCTGTCTGTGATCAAGTGAGAATAAAAGCATCATCATGCAAGGCTGGAAAAATCACTGAGAACTATTAATTTCTCCTCCTCTTTCTTCCTCTCTTATAATTCTTATACAGTTTCTCTTTTTCTTCACCCACATCTTTCTCTTTTATGTTAAAATCCAAAATGGTTACTCCTGACATTTTCTTTTTCTCTTTAAAAAAAAAAAAAAAAAAAAGTGAAACTTAAAGCAAACATTTAAAAACTGCAAAGAATCAGATAAGTAAAAACCTTAGAGCTTCAAAGAAAATGAAACACTGCAATAGTTTTATAAATGAATAACAAATTTGGAACTCACTATTTTTAAAATTTAACTCCTTCATACTGAAATGAATACAAATAAATAAACAAAAGCCATCTCCCACACACAGTCTCTTCACATATCAGTATCTCTAAAAAGAGTAAACAGATGCCTGTATTAACCTTCCCAGGTGGGAGCACATACTTCTGAAAGAGTGCAAAAAGAGAAACAGCATCCAATATTTTGAAGTTGATTTACAATTGCTCTTACATCATTTCTCTCTGAGGAAAAAAATAAATTCGCTTTTTATTCTTCAAGGAAGAATATTAAATCATGGGTTTCTTCTCACACAAATCTCCCACTGTCATTTTCACGACCATCAGTATATTTAGACAAATACAGGTTTAAGAAATCACTCTAAAATTCACTGCCCCACTCAGCCCTGAATTTAAAGCTGTTCTTTGTAAACTCCTGGTTAGTTTTGATTTAGTTCCTCAGACATATTGTATGTTTTAGATGTATTCACATAAATATCACATTTCAGGCAAGCAAATGGTGTGTTACAATATCTAACAATACTTATTAGCCTTAGCATTATGAAACTGGGAAAGCAGCTAATGTTTTACAGGGTCCACTATCATCCCACAGGACTCATTATGATAATGGGTGAACAGTGAAAATTTTGCAAGTAAGATTCAGATAACTATACATAAGTTCATAGGCTTATCTGGATTTCCCTAAAATCCCTGCAATCCACAGAACTGGCTGAAGAACAGCCACCCTAGGAGATTTTTCATGTTCACAGTATCTCTATCTAAGCTTTTTCTTCTGCAGCAATTTTACAGATGTTTTTCTGAAGGTAATGCCTCCTATTTATTTCCATGGAAACTGCAACATACAAAAAGAGCACAATAACACTGTTTGACAGAGCACATTCTCATCTACAAAACTTTATTTTTCAACATAAACACCACCATTAAGTATGTATTTTCACCAGTGATGAACAAGAGCATGTATGCTCATACACGTTTCCATGTCAGATGCCATTCTGTCAGCCTGCCCCTATACTGCCATCTGTCATACAGCAACAACATGTAATGAACATTGGTGGGAAGGTCCAATCTCCACTGCCATACCATCAACATCCGCCTCTGATGTTGTCAACTAACATTATCACACTGGAGGCATTACTTTTGGATCAACCCTCTTATTTCTGATGTCAGGGATTGCTCAGAAATGCATAAACAGGATGCAAATAAGCTATTATTGAACTGCTCAGAAGATATGAAAAAGATTTGGTTGGATTCTGGATGTGTAAAGTAGCACAGAATCGCAGTAGGGACTCATTTTTGGTCTTTCAAATAATAGTTGTTAGGACATTTTTGTTGTTAGCTAATGTTTTCCATGGACAAGAGGTAAGGAATGACTTCAGGATTTAATTTTCAGGATTAAAATGAGACTGAGTCACCACTACTACGAATTCGTGCCAGGGCTGGTTAAGCTTCTTCCTGGCCAAGTTCACTTCCCTTTCTGAGTTGGATTTGTTCCCCCTGCTTGGGTGCTGGGGGTGGTACCAAGAGCCAACGAGGCCACGAGTTTCTCAGCCCTGAATCCATTTCCAAACTGGGACCAAAGCAACTGCTCATTCTCTCCTGCAAGTTTCTACATTTTCTACAGAATCAGTAGTGGGTACACTAGAGGGTAGGAGCAGGACTTTGACCTTAGATGCTAGTTATTCTGCTTTTGATTTTCAATGAGACATAAAGGATGAATGACTCTGGATGTATCTGCTGTATACAGCAGACTTACTGCACGTGTGTAGATCATCATGTATGTCTGTTAGGGGAAGCAGAGAGAAACATGACAACCCTTCTAAAGATTGGCTAGTTTTCTGTACCCAGTTTGGAGAGGCAAGAGTATCAATGGTGAGCTGTTAACACCGAATATGTTACCCACTTGGGAAGAGGAATAACCTCAAACAGGAAAGCAGCCTCTGAAGTTCATTTCTTGAAATCTCTGATGCGGATGGATTCATAGTCCTGATTGTATTTGAACCTTACTTGAATTATAAGATTTCACACTTTAAAATAGGATTTAAATTTTTCAGCCACAGACAACCAAGTTTGAAAAGCCAGCTTGTTTAGTTAAAAGGTTATCCAAGTAGGAACAATGTTTATAGGCTTCTTTACTCCACTCTGTTCTTCGTGTCTTGAGTAAGGTGTTCAATGTGTCTCTATTCCCATATTACAATAACAAAATGAACTACTTAATATACATCACCAGCTAAACATGACAGTAATTGGGAGGGGGGGGTGTAATCCTTTTGCAAATGACAGGGATTATTATATCTGTAAATAGCAGAGATATTAATCAGACATTGATATCAATCTCAATATCTTTCAAGAATCCCTTTGATTTTTAAAGTAAACTTAAGTTAATGTGGTTTGTTCTTACAAACAGTAGAAGTAATAGTCTACATAACAACACTGCTTAGTAAAATAACTTTTTCTTTCTTTTGTGAATATCTTGTATAATTCCTCATTTTTATAGAAATCAGAATTAAAATACACAAACACAACTGATTAACAAAAATAAGACATGGCAAACAGCTTCTGCATTTCTATGAAAAGCTGGATTATCTCAGAGGAAAGAAAAAGAAAGCTACTTCTATACAAATTTGTTTTCTGTTGAATTCCTTTCCCCTACACCTTTAAAAAGTACTTGAATAAATTTCTCTAGTATGCAAAAGAATCATTCTTACTACCCAGTGATGTAGAGATGGAACATCTATTAGCGTGGAAAACCACAGTACTTCATAAGTCTTTGTAATCTTTTATAATAACAACTGTTTGCTGAAATGTAAGGGCAATATGTCATCAGGAGTCAGGCCTCACGCTCTTCAGCTTCAGGCTGCATGGGAGATCTACAGTGGATTCATTTTGAGTGCTGATGCACTGTAGGAACTGAAAGAATTCCAATGTCTTATTAAACTTGCAGTATTTTCAGTTCAGTGTCCATCTCTGACAGAGGCAAGAGAAAGTATAGGATATACCACAGTAGGCTAACATCTATCCTGCTTGTAGCCTTTCCACAGTTACCTCTTCACAGAATAAATCCTTGTGATACTATCTGGTAGAAATTAAAACAGTGTTTAAGTATAACAAAGAAATTCCTTACCAGTACTCTGCACGTTCCTGACACATACTTGAATACTTCTGAATTTTGCTGTACCCTTAAACATCATCTTTTTTGGCTTAAGTCAAAAAGTGAAGTCATGTTTTTTTCTTGTTTAGAAACAAAAAAATAGTTTTCTGTACATCTTACCTTTTTTTACATTTAATAGGCCCACATTTTATCAATTTTCTCAGGAGTGAATGATTGCACAAATACACCTTTTCATATGATCTTGAATTTTCATCTCTGAATTTTTCAATCAAAGTGTGTATAATGAATACAACTAGAGAATTGCATGGATAAACATTAATATTGGCAGCAAATAACACTAGAACATTTTAGCCAACTAAATTGACCACGATTGATAAAAACAACTATAAATGTTTACATATTACCTCTTTAGGGCTTATTAACAGTTCCCATAATGATTACAGGTGAAATTTTGAATTTACCTGGAAATGTAGACCTGAATTTAGCAAATGTTACATTAAACTGAAAAGAACATTTATAAGTGTGATATAATCACAACATACTGACAGTTGTCTTTCAAATCTGATTAACAGCCAGAATAGCACATTTACTGCCCTATGGATTCATCATATTGCTATTTTACTCTTATTAACATACTGTATTTCATGGGTAAAGTTCTAGCTCCCTTATTTTGTATTAGAATTGAGGCATAGTTAAACTGAAAATTCTGGATGTTTTAACACGTGGATGAATTTGTACAGAGTAAAATAACCATGTCAGAGAAAACTTGTTTAGAGAGATCTTCCCTTTCCATGCTTTCTCAGCCAAAGATGTTTCACTCACTTTCTTCCAGGAAGTAAAACAGATTGCTTAAATAACCTTTCAACACTTCAGTATCAATCTCCAGCAGCACCTTGGTAATGTATTTTGTTCTGGAGTTTTCCATGACGTAGACCCTCAACTAGTGCAAAGAGGACAGAGCAAAATAAGTAATTACAATTAAATTGAGCAGTAATTCCCAACCACCCATTGTTGCCAATAGTCAGCAACATGTCTGTCGGCTAAATAGCCTGAGGTGAACCTTTAGGCAGTTCATTTTCTCACAAACCTGTGATTTACTATGGTTAGGAGTAGTTTGAAATGGATTAATGTTGCTGGAAGATGGACTAGCAGTTTAACTGCCTTGTTTTCTTCTTTGGTTCAGGGAAAAAGTGTTTAACAGTGTGTGACTTCATTACAGAGGCGCCAGTAGCCCTGACCCTCCTGAGAATCTGTCAGTGTTTCAATATGCCATCCATGTTTCTAAATGTTTATAACACAGGCATTGTGAGCCAAACCCAGAATTATTAACAAATAACAATGCTGAGTTTTAATGAGGAGTAAGACACAGCTGAGTGTGCATTAGCAGGCAAGGCAGAACTTGTAGGCCTCTTCGAGGGGGGGATGCCATCATCCAAGAAACATTAAAGAACAGACTAATTTTTTGCCCTCATGAGATGATGTTGTATTATTGTTCATTTTTAAGTTTACATTTTAAAGAATGTAGAACATCTGTAGATTACATAATGGATTCTCTCACCACAAAAACTATTCTAAGTGTGTGGGAAGATGAGGTGGAAAATACCAATACTAGGGAAAAGGCGAGTTCGTTGTCTCTATTTATTGTTGCTCTGATGTGAAACATCAAAGTTCCCTATTTCTAAACATTTTCTGGACCACATAATTACCTTTCCTTCTCCTACGAGTTGCAGAGCCAGGCTTGTCTTCTAGCTGCTTTTTATGGTCACTGCCACTTCAGCTTTCACTTTCTACTGAACTATTTAATGGGAAGAAAATATGGAATTAGATTTCTCCAATTCAACCGCATGTATTTCTCCTATTTTTCCCACTGATCAACAGGATGAAAGGAAGGGTCAAAGACTCAGAAATACTGACTGACAAACCACTCTTTCCAAGAAGCAATTCAAATGTTTGAGAGAGAATGAATTGCTCAAAGTTTCACCTCAGGTTATTCACAACAACACGGAATAAACTTTGCATCTGCTTATTTGCATATGCCCACTGCACGCTATATTCTTTGCACATAAAAGCACAGTCTCAGAAATGGCAACCCAACGTGGGTATCGTGTTCCTCTCACCTAACACCTAAATAAGACTGACTACCTGAATGCTTGTGAATGGTGCCATGTTTCTCAAGAGCTGTGCTGTCTTGGTTCTCCAGAACATTGGCATACATTGTTTCACTCTTTGCAGGACTTGATTTTGTAAAGATAAACAGATGCTAAGAACAACCCATGCCAAAAGCATATTGTCCACCAGGTAACATGTCTGTGAGTCCATGGCTTTAACCTACTTTCTATCATAGACACAGACTTAGGTAACAAAACCTCAGAAGTCAAACGCCTCAAAACATGTACGTGGAAAGTCTACTGGAAGTCTAATTGGAGGAGTTAAAAGAGAGTACTTCAAGACAGATAACAATAAAGTATTTCTCCTGGTACCTCACTTGTGTACTACACACTCGTTTAGCCTGAAGTAGAGCAGTCCCATGTGTATCTATGGGAAATTTGTACTTTTGCTACTACTGCACAAGGTGTCTCCTTTCTCTTACCTCTCAAAAAAATTTGGTTATAATAGCTTTCGGACAGGACTGCAGCTGTATCAATTTTTGAGATGGCAAAAGAAAATGACAAAGTTCCTGAAAGGAAGAATCTTCTTTTACTTCTGGTAAACTCATTATTTGAAGCCTATAATGTGTTATGCATCTTGATTTCACATACAAAACTCGTAGAGGTATTTCATTCTAAAGTGACTTGTTTTAGACTGCAGAAATGACTGAAAAAAAAAACCAAAACAACCCAAAACAAACAACAAATGACTCCAAAGTAAGAAAACGTTCCCTAGGTCTGCTCCAATAGATTTCGATGAGTTTGGAGAAAATAAAGCCATCGTAGATTCATAATTATCTGTAGCTGACATAATCATGTTTTGTGAAAAAGTATTCAAAGAAATCATAGAATCATAATGGCCTGGGTTGAAAAGGACCACAATGATCATCTAGTTTCAACCCCCTGCTATGTGCAGGTTTGCCAATCACCAGACCAGGCTGCCCAGAGCCCCTTCCAGCCTGGCCTTGAATGCCTCCAGGGATGGGGCATCCACAACCTCCTTGGGCAACCTGTTCCAGTGTGTCACCACCCTCTGAGTGAAAAACTTCCTCCTAAAAAAATCTGTAACTGAATTAGGTAGTTTCATTAATTGTATAATCAAGATAAAGCCCTAAGCCTATTGGAGGGCAAAATACATCTTGTGTCACCCTACTGCAAACACCTCACCTGCCACACTTTTTTTTCTTAAGTTTCCATCATTAAGTAACATGAAAATATTTTAGAGTTGATTAGGAAGAACTGTATTTTTGCAAAACATCACATGCCTCAACTTCAAATAACACAATATACAGTAAGGGACACTATATAAGAAAGGCAATAATTAATGAAAAACAGATTGGAAGTTAATTTAATAGAATATCTCTTTGTAATGGTAACAAGGAAAGGGAAAGAGTTACCTTTCTTTCATACGCTGCTAAGAGACAACACCTATTACTTACAGAAGCTAAAGGAGTGTTAGCAAAGGGTTTGACTGAATGTAGTTGTTTCTCTTCATGTGGATCTATCTTCTGAAGAGAAATCCCCACAAAGAGAGTATGCTGCAAACAACATGTATTTTGCAGAAGTGGCATGGCTGTATTGCCCATTACTCCCTATTCAAGTAGATCCTGCTTTTCTAGGGGATAACTGAGAAAAGTATTTCATCTACAGAAGAAAATGTTAACCTGATAATCTCTTGTTGTCAGGGGAATAATCTTATGCTTTGGCCTGATTTTGCTCAAACTGTTCACTATTAGTAGCCAATGCCGACATGGTGAACAATACTGCTGCACTTTCTATCTTAACATCCCCTGTCTGTACAAAACCAGGCAATGCATTTGATTTTTGGTGTTAACCAATTTGTTTCTGACTAACAAGCATGGTATCATTTCTATTTTCTTATCACCCATATGTCTGAATTTCTTGCTGTAGGCGTAATAAGTAATGTGACTAATATCTGCCATATTTACTTTGTTCTTTATCTGGTCCCACCCAGGAGAAAACTCAGAGTGCAGTGTAGTTTTCTTGTCAAAGGATTTTATTTTTGGATGTGTTTACTTTTGTCTTTTACTTTTTAAGTGTGACTGTTATTATGTATTTATGTCAAAAAAAGGTGGGCTTGAATAGCAACTCCTGTGAGCTATATTTTTTTTTTTCCCAAGTTTTTCTGAATTACCAATTTTTACATGATAGCCTTCAAGAAAAAAAAAATCCTCCTCATGTATTTTTCAGACAATTGCTAAGATACTGAATGTCTTGTAGAGTTATTTCTCTAAATTAACTCTCTGTTTTGGTGGAATGTGCATTCTAAAAAACTCCAAAATAATACCTGTATTGTATTTAAAACTATGGTAGACTTCAAGTCTTACATGAGAGAATTCACCTATTATTTTTAACTTTGTAAAAGAAGAGGCTGATTCATCCCACCTCATGCCTAGATGCCTAACTTTTAATCAAGCAAAGACAGAAGGATGTAGTTGATTTTGTAGACTTTAACATTTGGTACATTTAGACACTAAAATTCATGTTAAGCCTGAATGTTAGAGGCTAGATTTGCACAACATATGAAGTGTTCTCCCAGCTGCTACAAGACAGCAACAGGACTGGCAAATAAGGAGGAAAGATGCAGAGAATTTTGAATGCTCTCACTGTGGGACAGCCAGATATTTGGGTCATAGAGGGACCTGTCATGGTGCATGAGGCCAGGCTTTTTTTTTTTTTTTTTTTTAAACTGCTCTAGATTTAGAGAATTTTTGTGAAGGAATGAAAAATATGTTTTTAATACAGCTTTGGTCATAGCTATGATGACTATTTGACCAGCTGGGAAGAGTACAATGTAAATTGTGTGGCACAGCTCTTAAGCTCACAAAGAACACAAGCATTCCCCAACATAAACAGAATACCTTCTTCCTGAAGTTAAACCCTGTTATTTCCTCACAGCTTTAAAGAAATGATAAAGCACTAAGGAAAATGACATTTCCACTTTTCATGCTTTACTTTGTTATGTACTTTTGTATATAATTTATAATGAAGTATAAAATGACAGTTATAATCTGTAGGGGGTAAAGGCTGCTGAGTGAGCTCTACCTCATGGAGAGCAATAGTACCTATAAGAACTGTGAGGTGCAGTGATGAAAAAAGGAGCAGAAGCACTTTTAATGTCTGAATCTGGATACACTGCTCAGTGAGCGTTCTCTTAAAAACACCAATACACTATGATGATGTCTGTCATATGTACGTAAGACATTTGATCACATATGATTTGTCATCCTTCACAAATGACTCACCGTTTCCAATATATTGCAATATAACTGAGCCATGCTCATCTGATAAAACTGCATGTATTGCAAATGGTACACTCTTCTCATTTTAGAAAAGAGAGTGTGCACAATGAATTTTTAGAGTAGAAATTAGAAACTTTGTTTAAATGACTTTCCTAGCAATTTCCAAAGTTTCTTTTGAAAGAGATTTTGCATAATACATAAATAACAAGGTTGTATCTAATTATCATGGCTGACTTTATTTTACTAAAATGTACTATTCACTTTATATCACACAATGCTAATTAAAAGCCTAGGTGAAAATGATATTCTGTGGAAGCAAGGTTTTCAGAAGAAATGTGCAGGGTTCCAATTAAAAAACGTTTTAAAGTACCTGCTGTTTATATGAAAACACAAGGTAATTTGCATTTGGATTTAAACTCTTGCAGTTCAAAACATTTGTACTGTGCCAGCAGATGCATTTCTATTTTTTGGTCATACAATGCTAACCTGCTGGCAGAACATCACAGAATCATAGAATCACCAAGGTTGGAAGAGACCTCAAAGACCATCCAGTCCAGCTGTCCACCTATCACCAATATCTCATCCTCAGACAGATACAAACAATGAGTTTTAACAGTTTTCTGCAAAAGGCACATTTTTTGTGTCTGTGAACTTTATTTTTCACTTCATTTTTAATGTTAATTAATTTTTACTACATTAATTAGCAATCCTTGTGGGGCAGGCTAAGTTTTACAGTCAGATCATCTGCAGGTGGGAAGTGGAGGAAAGGACTGATTACACAAACTTGTTAAAGGTCACCAATTCAAAGAGATTAACATTCCCATTGCCTCTAATTCCGTATACTATTCTTTACATTATAACTACACTTATCTTGTTGAGTAATGGATGAGTAAATACAGGAACTAATCATGTCATGCAACCTGATGAGCACTCTCACCCGAGTCAACTCAGTATTGAATAATCAGCTCTGAAGAGAGAGATTTTGAAAACATTTCACCTTAGATAAGAAAGACCATACAGTTTATTTCTAAAAGATACCTCATTGACTTAACACTACAATTACTAAATCAGCTCTGTGCTTGGTGGTCATCTAGCTTTCCCTTTTGAACCTGTATGTAAGTCAATGCAACACATACATGCAATGTATTGATGAATGTATAAGAGCCTGTTTGTTTCCAACGTATGGAGGGTGTAAAAACGCTGGTTGGTACAAAAGTAGTTCTTCAGCTAAAGCTGGATCACCTTCTCATCACTCCCTACTTCTCCCTCCCCAGCTGGAAGCCACTGGATAAATCCTCAGAGCATCAACAAGCAACACATGTTGGCAACAACAGGAGCTGTAAGAACACACATAAATACATATGGCTGTGAGCAGCCTCGTCTAG